GAGGAAAGGATAAATAGAAACAGGAGACCAGAAGTATCAGAGGAAAGGATAAATAAAAACAGGAAGCAGGAAGTATCAGAGGAAAGGATAAATAAAAACAGGAAGCAGGAAGTATCAGACGAAAGGATAAATAAAAACAGGAAGCAGGAATTATCAGAGAAAATGATATATAGGAACAGGAAGCAGGACACATCAGATGAAAGGATAAATAAAAACAGGAAACCGAAAGTATCAGAAGAAAGGATAAATAGAGACAGGAAACAGGAAGTAGCAGGGGGAAGTTAAATAGAAACAGGAAACAGGAATTATCAGAGGAAAAGGATAAATAAAAACAGAAACAAAAAGTATCAGAGGAAATATAAATAGAAACAGGAAACAGGAAGTATCAGAGGAAATATAAATAGAAACAGGAAACAGGAAGTATCAGACGAAAGGATAAATAGAAACTGGAAACAGGAAGTATCAGATGAAAGGATAAATAGAAACAGGAAACAGGAAATATCAGAAGAAAGTATAAATAAAAATAGGAAGCAGGAAGTATCAGAGGAAAGTATAAATAAAAGAGGAAACAGGAAGTATCAGAGGAATGTATAAATAAAAGAGGAAACAGGAAGTATCTGAGGAAATATAAATAGAAACAGGAAACAGGAAGTATCAGAGGAAATATAAATAAAAACAGGAAACAGGAAGTATCAGAGGAAATATAAATAGAAACAGGAAACAGGAAGTATCAGACGAAAGGATAAATAGAAACAGGAAACAGGAAGTATCAGAGGAAATATAAATAGAAACAGTAAACAGGAAGTATCAGAGGAAAGTATAAATAAAAGAGGAAACAGGAAGTATCAGAGGAAATATAAATAGAAACAGGAAACAGGAAGTATCAGAGGAAAGGATAAATAGAAACAGGAAACAGGAAGTATCAGAGGAAATATAAATAGAAACAGTAAACAGGAAGTATCAGAGGAAAGTATGAATAAAAGAGGAAACAGGAAGTATCAGAGGAAAGTATAAATAAAACAGTAAACAGGAAGTATCAGATGAAAGGATAAATAAAAACAGGAAACCAGAAGTATCAGAGGAAAGGATAAATAAAAACAGGAAACAGGAAGTATCAGAAGAAAGGATAAATAGAAACAGGAAACAGGAAGTATCAGATGAAAGGATAAATAAAAACAGGAGACCAGAAGTATCAGAGGAAAGGATAAATAGAAACAGGACACAGGAAGTATCAGAAGAAAGGATAAATAGAAACAGGAAGTATCAGAAGAAAGGATAAATAGAAACAGGAAACAGGAAGTATCAGATGAAAGGATAAATAAAAACAGGAGAACAGAAGTATCAGAGGAAAGGATAAATA